AAAAGGTTTACGTTAATGTGTTATTTAAAATTATTTTAAGATATTACTTTCAGTTCGAAGCCAGAAGAGGATTTAGAGCACGTGGTGATATCGCCATTGATGATGTTTCGATGAGTCCAGAATGTTTCGGATTAAATGTGCCTGAAAAAGAAAAAGAAGGTTACGATTATGATAATTTTAGTGGATATATAGGTACTGAATTGAATTTTTTTTTTTATTATTATTATCATTATTTCATTTATATTGACTTTTTAATTTTTTGTAACAGAACCTACTCAACCAGTTGAAGAGCATCGTGATTTTTTTAATAAAACAAGTAAGTTTTTATTTATCAAATTTAAATATTAGGAAATGATGTTTGGTTAAAAATATTTCATTTTAATTAATTTTTTTTTTTTTTTTTAGTATACATTTTTACAAGTTGTGGAGTAAGGGGAAGAATGGGTCCGTCTCCCGAAAACTGTTCATTGGCTTACAATAATACAAGCGTAAACGTTACCATTCTTCAAGATGCTACCCTTAATGGCGTTCAACGTTGGGTAGTTCCTCAAGATGGCTTTTACACGTTAGTTTGTGATTGCAAATTTAATTTAGGATGATAACGAAATATCAATAAAAGGAATTTTTAAACAGGATTGTAGTTAAGGGAGCGAGTGGCGGAAAGGGTTACGATGGTTTGGGTGTCAGTAAAGGAACAACAATAATGGGTGTTGTCGAACTCAATAAAACTCAATCTTTGTATATACTAGTAGGTCAAGAGGGAGGAAATGCTTGCAGAAAAGTAAATTTTTTTTAACCGTTAAATGATCGAATCAGCAGATTTTCTTTTTTTTTTTATATATGAAAAATATTGTTTTAGAATTTTGCCGTCACGCAACATTATACTTGTGGAAATTTCAAAAATTCAAATTTTTCAACTCCTTTAAATCCGTTAAAAGAAATTCAAAATTTAGATATTATTGATGATGGAGGTGGTGGCGGGGGTGCAACTTTTGTATTTTTGGTGAGAAAAAAATTTAATTTGAAATAAATTACTTTTCACCGTTATTTAAAATATTATTATTATTGTTTTAGTGGTCTCAAAAAAATGGTAGAATACCTCTGATAGTCGCAGCTGGTGGAGGAGGTTTAGGAGGAGGTACTTATCCAGATGATGGATCACAACATGGAAAGGGAGTTGATGTTAACAGGCCTGGTATAACGGGTTCCGAAAGCGGAAATAATTCAGCTGGTATACCATGTTTAAAAACAATCAACCGAAATAAAGATTGAATTTAAATTTTTAAAAAATTCTTTTAAATTTTTGTAGGAGCTGGTGGTGGTTGGATCGAATCCAATAATACTTGGAGAGAAGTTACCGGGGGTTCTTTTGTACAAGGAGCAGTTGGAGGAAAAGCTTGCGGTCAAAGCCTAGACTTACACGGGGCTGGAGGATTTGGAGGTGGTGGAGGAGGTTGTCGAACAGGAGGTGGAGGTGGTGGTTTCGCCGGTAAAATTTTTTCTTTTCGAAATTAAATTTAATATTCGTAAAATTATAAAAAAAAGACTTTCATCGTTTATTTAATACTTCAGGTGGTTCAGCATCTACCGATAAAAGGAATGGCCTCGGTGGTTATTCATATACTGCACACGGCCTAATTATTAAAGAAATTGATCCAGGTTCGAATACCGGACAAGGTTCTGTGGTGATTATACCAGCTATCAAAGGATGCGGTTGTAAATATTTGTGTGTGGCTTTAGACGAACATAAGCAAAAAGTGAAATGCATATGTCCTACCGGATCTCAACTGGAAAGTGATGGCGTGTCTTGCCTCTGTAAGTTGTAAACATGTTTTAATTAATGGTAACATCAAAAGTAGAAAACATTGTAACCAACTGTTTAACTTAAAATTATTTGTAGATTCTGAAAGATATGAGCCTACTGTTACCGAGAAATATATGACGGTCATCATTGGAATGTTAATTGTTTTAATATCCATTTGCATTTGTTACTATTTTTGTAAGTATTAATTCATGGGTAAAACCTTAAGAGTTTATTGGAGTACTCATAAAAGTGGTAAAAATATCATTAAAATAAGTTCAAAATATGAAATTGCAATAAGAATTTAAGGGTAAGAAATTAACAAATATTTTTTTGTCATCAGTTAAACACGGTCGAAGGAATAAAAAAGATCGCATGCGCATGAAAATGATAGACGAGTCAGAACTTCAATTAAACAGGTTAAGATTAGCATCGGACAGCATGATGACGGAATATAATCCAAATTATGAATTTGGTGGTGGAACCTACACCATCAGAGATTTAAATGAAGTACCTCGAGAAAATTTAAGACTTGTCAAGTAAAGTATTTCAATTGATGTCAATTCATTCATTTAAAAAAAAAAAAAAAAATTTATACCTGTAAATATTGACTAAAAATTATTTCAGAGCCTTGGGACAAGGTGCATTCGGAGAAGTTTATCAGGGTTTCTATCGTTATCGAACTGGGGATATAATAGAAATGCCTGTAGCGGTAAAAACACTACCTGAACTATCTACCAGTCAAGCAGAAACTGATTTTTTAATGGAAGCTCTTATTATGAGCAAATTCACTCATCCGAACATTGTTCACTTTATAGGAGTGTGTTTTGATAAACATCCGAGATTTATAGTTTTAGAACTTTTAGCAGGTGGCGACTTAAAAAATTTCCTTAGGGAATCTCGGCCGAAACCTGTAAGATTCGAAGTAGAAACGACGTTAAAAAAAAAAAAAAGTGTTTGATTAAAAAATTTAATTATTAATTTTAGGAACGTCCCTCTCCCCTGGTCATGAAAGATCTTTTAATGTGTGCAATTGACGTAGCTAAAGGGTGTGCTTACCTTGAAGAACACCGATTTATACATAGAGATATTGCGGCACGAAATTGCCTTCTTACTACAAAAGGGCCTGGAAGAACCGTTAAAATTGCAGATTTCGGTATGGCCCGAGATATTTATAGGTAATGCTTTTGTATTAAAGGAATATACTTTATTAACGTAACATCAGGAATTAACATCAGGAATTTATTAACAGGGCTGAATATTACCGAAAAGGAGGTAAAGCCATGCTACCTATTAAATGGATGCCTCCCGAAGCTTTCCAAGATGGTATTTTTACTGCTAAGACTGATATTTGGTATGAAAAATGTTTTTATTTAAAATTACATGTTTAACTTATTAACAACAATATAAAATGCTTCGACTGTGCTCTTTTAGGTCGTTTGGAGTTTTGCTGTGGGAAGTTATGTCTTTAGGATACATGCCATATACGGGATGCGGTAATCGTGAAGTAATGCAACTAGTTATAAGTGGAGGAAGACTCGAACCTCCTATGAATTGTCCCTCTCCCGTATATGCCATAATGACCAAATGTTGGCATCCCAAACCAGACGAAAGACCGAGTTTTATGTTAATTTTAGAAAGATTAGGATACTGTTTGCAGGTACACTAACCGTTTAACCCCTTTAATTCTCCTTTTTAAAAAATTATCATTAAGTTTAAATAAAAAAAAAATTTTTTTTTTTAGGATCCAGAAGTTTTAAACGCTCCATTACCCATTTTTAATCGACTTCCATCATCAGAAAGAGATTCAACCGTTATGAGGCCTGAGATAACGAATAGTTGTCTTCAAGTTGAAGGTATTTCGGATTATTTAGAACCCACACAAGGAATACCCAATAATCACACGACAACCGGGTCGAGGCTACGTGAAAAACAAACGGGACGAAATACGGAAAATTGGGAATCTAGTTTTACAATGCCGGAATCGCAGTCGACGCAACCGCTTCTTTCGCAACAGGAAAACACCGGACAATCAGAATTTTCAAATTCTAAAACGGGACAAACAAAATTAAATAATAATAATAATAATAATAACAACAACAACAACGATCGTCAACGATCTCTTACAAATTCTATATCTCTCGATGCTGGAGCTTTGGTCAAACAACCCATACCGTACGTCAACGTCAAAGTACCTCCTAAATCGCATAAAATGACCGTCGAAGAAGATTCCGAATCACCATTTTCGGTTTCTAGACATTTAATTAATGACGCAGAAATTTCCTGCTGAAAATAACCCTTAATTAGTGACGATGGCTGAAAAAAAAAATAACAATAAACAATTGAAAATAAAAAAATAAATAAATTAAATTTAAATTTTCTCGGGTGGAACAGGGTTATTCATAAACATAAACATAAACATAATGAACGTATCTATGTGAAAAAAAACAAAACAAAACATATTGCTTGTAACTTATCAAAGCATTTGTACAAAATGTTTGAATGAAAATTTTGAAAATCTAGTCATCACAGTTTAATGCTCACTAAAAAAGGTTGTTAAAATATTTTTATTTGTATTATAATTGTATATTCTAATGGAAAAAGAGAAAGAAAATTTATCCCCCTCTCCCTCCCCTCCCCTCATTTTATAATAATAATAATAATAATAATTATAAATTAATATCTTCCAAATTTTAAAATTAGTTTTATTTAAAACTATAATTATAACTTGATAAGATTTTTTAAAATTTATTATTATTATTATTATTATTATTATTATTATTAATATTATTATTATTATTATTATGTACGAGAAAGCTTTGTTGTAAATGCTTATTGTAAAAATAATGTTAGTTAATTTTAAAAAAAAAACAATTGAATGTTAAGTTTATAAAAAATTTTAAAATAATATTCTAACGCCCCCCCCTACGGGCATTTTGTTTCGGGGGAAGGGGAAGGGGAAGAATAGGGGGGAGGGGAGTGGGAGTGTTTATTATTATATTTCATTTAAATTTTAAATCCTCGTTTTTTCTTTTTTCTTTTTTTTTTTTTTTTGTTAAAATGTTTTGAAGAAGTTTTAATTGGATTTATCTCTTGCTCAAATGTATTTGTGTATATTAAAATTTAATTTGACGATTATTTCCGGTTGATTTTCTATTGATTTCCGGTTAAAAGAAAATTTATTAAACGAATGGTGAAAAGTGTGTGTGTGTTTAAAAAAAAAACATTCCACCCCATAAAATAATAATAATTAATAAATAAAAAATTATAAAAATCCCTAAAAAATTTTATGTATGTACATTTTTAATAATAATAATAATAATAATAATAATAATAATGAAACGCTTTACACGTGTGCTAAGCCTAAAAAACAAAAAAAAAAAAAAAAAAAAATTTCATTCGAAATATATTATTATTATTATTATATCGATATGTGGCTTCTTTTCTTTTATTTAATTATTTATTTATTTTTTTTAAATAAATAAATGTTTGTTATTTATTTATTAAAATTCGATCGCTTGCCAATTAATTAAATAAATATATTTATTATTAATTTTTTTTATAAAAAATAAATAAATAAATAAAAAATAAAAAAATAAAAAAATTCTCTCTCTGATAAATTTTCATTATTATTATTATTTTATTCGAATTAGAAATTTTCGCGTTTTTTTTTTAAAATAAATGTCGCCATTATTTATTAACTATCATTATTATCATTATTATTATTATTATTATTATTATTTCGATTTGCTTTCGATAAAAGATTTTTAAGTAAAAAACAAGAGCTCACTTTTAATTTTATACATTAATTAATTAATATAATTAAATAAAAAAATTAACGACTCAATTGTTATTATTATTATTATTATTATTATTATTATTTTAAACAATTTTTTTTTATTAACGAGACTAAAATAATAATAATAATAATAATAATTGTTAATAGTGAGTGAGAGTGAGACTACATTAGTCGGAAGCTCAAATTTTTTTCTTTTTTTAATACTCGCGATGATTGATTTATCATTATTATTATTATTATTGTTATTATATATTATTATATATTATTATTATATAATATTATGTAATGTAAAAAATATTTTTTTGTTTTATATATAGAAATATTTAACGGAAAAGCTTTTTATAATTATTTGTTTGTTTGTTTGTTTGTTGTATTTAATAGTAATAATAATAATAATAAAATCCCGCCCCCGCCCCCCTCCCGCATTCAAATTTTTAATTTTAAATGTTTAGTTAAACAATTATATAAACAATGAGTAGTAAATAAAAACTATTATTATTATTATCATTATTAAATTTTTAATTTACGTTGTACAAAAAAAAAAAATAAAATAAAATAAAAATAAATTTATTTTTAAAATAATAATGATTATGATGATTGTTTTTTTTTTTTTTTTTTACCTACTCTTTTATTTTATATCCTTTTGAGGGGAGGGAGGGGGCGGGGGGGAAAATAAACCGTTTCGTTAATTATTATTACTATCATTACCTTCGTTTGTTGATGGAAAAGGGGTTAATGACCTTCACAATAACTCCATTTTAAATTCATTTTGAAAAAAAAGGGATTCCCCCCCCCTGTTTTCTTTTTTGTCATTATAAATTTTTACATGTGTAGATATATTATTATTATTATTATTATTATTATTATCATTATTATTTATTTATTTATTTAAACAATATCAAATACAAAATATTTTTATTATTTGTTTACATCTTTCCAATCGAAAGCAAACAGGAAAAAAAAAATAATCATACACACATATATATATATATAAATATCGTATGAAATAGTCATAATAATAATGATAATAATAATAATAATAATAATTACGGCTTTGACGAATGCGTTAAAAAAATACAATTTTTTTTTTAAATAAAATAAAATATACAAAATATTACATTATATTTTTTTAGGAGAATAATAATAATGACTTTAGGATTGACAAATGATGATAATAATAATGATTCTCTTCACTTTTTTAATCATTCACGATTAACGATAATGATAATAAAAAAAATAATAATAATAAAATGAAAATTAAATATATTTATATATATATATATATATATATGTATAATTAATTATTTATTTATTTATTTGTTGGCGATTTTGTACACACTTCTATAATAAAATCTATAATTAATTAATTATATAATTAATTTACTTAATAATTAATAATCAAGCTGTGAATTTTTACCGCCAAAATTTTAAAAAGAGAGAGAGAGAGAGAAAAAGAAAACAGCATGCATTCGTATAATACATTTACTCCTCCCACACACACACAAACATATGATCATATATAAATTCATTAAAATAACATTATTATTATTATTATTATTATTATTATTATTATTAAATGTTTTTGTTATTATAGGAGAAGCAGAAAATGATACTAAATAGTTTTTTAAATAAATAAATAAAAAAATTCACAGCTTGATTATTATTATATTTTATAAGATTAATAAATTGTTTGCCGGTTTCAGTTATATTCGAGGCTTTTTTTTTATGGCTTAAAAACTATAACAATTTGTTTGTTTGTTTGTATAATAAAACTAAAACCGATAACAAACAATTTATAATAAGAGTTAAGGTTTTTTCACTGAGCCCTAGTGAAAAATTCAACAAACTCTTATTTTTAATTACATAATTATACAAATTACATCAATTTTTTTTTTTTTCTTTTTTTTTTCTTTTCTCAATATTCATTTTTATATAAAAAAAATTTTTTTTTTTTTTTTTAATAAGGAGGTTAAATGCTATTATATATATTTTGAAAGAATTAAAAAAAAAAAAAAAAAAATTTTTTTTTTTTTGGAATGAATTAATTATTATTATTATTATTTTACCACTTTTTTTTTTTTTTAAAAAGTCTAATAATGATGAATAAACAATTTATGTAATTTTTTTTTTTTTTTCTTTTTTTTTTTTTTTTTTTTTTTACATTCCTTATAATATATTATAAAAGTAAAGATGGTGTCCGCAATCGTCGGTTGACGCGAGTCTCGATGACTCAGTTACAAAATTTGGCCTTATGTAGCTGCGAGCTGCAAAAACTGGGCCGCATTCCTTTTTTACACAAAGGGAAAAGTTCCGCGGCTTAGAATGATTGGCCCCTGAACGGGGGGCCAATAGCTAGGAGGCTGGCCTGTGACGCCCCCCACACAGCCCGCAGCGGACACCGCACCAATGGCAAGCACGGAGCGGAGGATACAACCACAAGCATGGTACCAATATTGATAATATGGCCAGTCCCAGCCATCGTCGGCTGCAACCCTCGTCGCTCGTGCACTCGCAGGGATGCTGTGCAAAATCACCCTCTGCATCTGCCATGCAATGATAAAGCATGCACCTGGCGCATCGTACGCAAGACACTTCGTCAATTGCGGACCGTATGCAATCGGGAGCATATTCGCAAGCTCCCTTTTTGTTTTCTTCCTCGACAAACAACTCTTGACAATATCGACACCTTTGCCGTCCCAATTTCCTCATTTCCTTTTTCCCTTGTTTCGCCGTCGGCGGAGGCAATGCTTCTAAGCTGCGTTTTTTCAGGCTGCCTGTTGTCGAATCGTGCTGTGACACTTTTGACGCATCAGCACCGGGATAAATATATTCGTGAACGGTTGTAAGCTGCACGTATGGATAATTATCCGTGTGACTTGAAGGACTTTCAAGTTCTGATCCTAATTTACCACGATTTATAAAATGACCTTTTTGTAATATTTGCTCTTGGGGAGGAGTCGGATGCTTGCTGCCACGTGTAGACGAATCCGAAGAAGACCGCGAGTCTCCACGCTCTACGGGTAAATTTAGAGTCTGAAAATAATTATTTTACAATTATTATATTTTATAACAAAATGTTTTTACAACATTAATTCCGTTAAAACTACGTCTTTGATTCATTTAATCTGTTATAAAAAAACAAAAAGAAAAACTTATGGATACTAACCATGAAGACATCGTCATCGCCCACTTCAGTCGAGTGCTTGTTGTGGACGGGTTGCGGTTCAGTTATTCCTGTAATTTGAAAAA